ATTAACTTAAATGATTTTAGCAAATGGCTGCAATATAACAAAGAGTGAAAAATTGAAGGGGGTCTGAATACTTTTCGTACCCACTGTACATCGTATAGCACTAGTCAACTAAATGAACTATACTAGTCAAATAATTCATGTATGTTCATGATTAAATTTTCTTTTATTGTTGTAATTAATGTATAGCGTTAACAATATCACCCGTTGAATTCTTTTTGGGAGCGATGACTGATTGAATGTATTTTTAGTCCAGTGCCTGCATATAAGATTAGTATTGACCAAGTTCAGAGGCTGTCATATGTGGATCAACTTACTATGTTGTGTATTTTCAACAGTTTCAATATGAAAAATAACTTTTATATTGATTCAATGGATTTATTGCATTTTGGAAAAAAAAACGTGTCATGGATTTATTGCATTTTGGGAAAAAAATAATACAATTTTATAATAAATCTTTGAAAATCAAAATCTGGATTTGAATTTTTAATGTTATTATAACCTAAAGATGCTATGTGAAAGTATGAAACAGAAAATAGTGGTTTTCATCTAGCCACTTTCTTGGTAAAGAAAACAAATTTTTACTCAAATTAATCAAAATGGATTTATAGCGTTTTGGAACCAAACTCTTCATATACAGTATATGTGTGTATGTAGAGACTATGTGTGTTAATATAAATAACTTTATAAACAGTGTATAAACGGGGCGGAGCTAGGGTTGGCCACCCCACTCACGACTGCTGCATCTGTCTCTTTTTTTGTGGTCTTTAGAACCACATCAAACAGGAGACTTTCAGACGCGCACTCCAACTTCACATTCATTTACAAATCCTTCTGTGTCTGACAATCTTATGTATGTCATTAAAAATAAAATTCTATACAAAAATCCAATTCAACATATAAAATCCAATCAGCAGTGCAATCCTTACATGCAGACACATGAATAACCATCGGATGGACCAATGGTAAGTTGACTGTTTCACAAAACACCACAAAACACTGAGGTTTGATACTCACTCTGTTTGGAGCTCCATCTACAGAAATGAAGAGAGACACAGAAGGATTGACTCATGTTATCTCGAGCATTCACAATATATATCAGGAATATTCTGGATTAACTTCAATCTAATGTCTATGGAGCAAATCTCTGGCATGCTGTTGCTTACCACAGACAATCAAAAAAGAAGCAAAAATCACATTCACACTAATGTACGTACAATGGAAGTCTACAGGGCTTTCCAGAAGAAATGTAAAGCTTCAAATCTGTAATCATGTTGCTATTTGAGCTGTCTAGTTGTCTAAATCACCACTTTGAGGTGGGACTACTTTTCTAGGCGAAGGAAAATTTACAAATTTCATTCCATGTAATTCCAATGAATGGAGTTTGCAGTGTCCATGTCTGAATATACGTACTTCCCTACTATATAGTATGCAAAAAGCGGTCAGGCTTCATGTGGTAGTTGTAGCAGTGATTTTGCATAAATTATAGGTCATACAAGAAAAACTACCATAATTTGAAATGACTATAGATTTAACCCACTAATAGATTCCCACACACCTCTGGAGTCCAGGGGCTCGGAGTGAGTGATGTCATCTTTAGGCGCCAGGTGCGGGGGGAACGGGAAGGCCCCGGGAAGAGCCATGAGGCTCGCACCCGCTCCCAGGTTCAGTCCTGAGGGGTGTGGAGTCAGAGGGAAGCCTGGGGCATGATGGGATAGATGCTGAAACTGCTGCTGCTACAAAGGGGGAATGGAGAGGAAAATGTCAAGTCAATGTAAAACCTTTTTTATGTAAAAACATTTGGTTACACGTTATTTTAAGGTGTCCTTGTTACAGTGTAATTATACATATAAGTACTGAGTAATATTAATTAACTACATGTACTTATTATATGGTTAGGGTTAGGATTTGGCTTTGGATTAGGGTTACTTGCATGTAATCACGCATAATTAATTGTTATTATAATAGTAAATACATGTAACACATGTAACACGGACACCTTAAAATAAAGTGTTACCTATAGAATATATGAGCACATTAAAAAAAAAAGTAATTCAGTGTAACAACAGTTTGTATACCAAAAGTCTTCTCAGGCATATAAGAATCATTAGATGACATTAAAAGACTATTTAAGGACCACAGTGCAGAGCCCAAAATACTAATTAATTTTCATTTTAAATCTTTACCAATCTTTGCCACCATTCATCAAACCACTAGGTTTTACCCATTAGTCAGCAAGAAGTTTTTAATAATTTAAAATACAATAAAAATTAATATAATCACTAATACATTTTTATATAATTTAATAAGTATTAAGATTGATACGATTGATGTTTCAGTTTTACATAAATATATGTGTTATGCTGAATGATGATGGAACATTATTTCATCCATATTTTGACATTTTATGTTCACAAAAGCTATTTGAAACATTAAAGTATATATATATATATATATATGTACACACACACACACACACACACACACACACACACACACACACACACACA